CTGCCATTCAGCTTGTCCCTTAAATGCCATCTTCCTCTTTGTACCTAAGTAACCACGTATAGTAGTAGTTACCTACTCCGTAGTACTTACTCAACCAAGTAAGTTATCTTAGATCCGATCGGGCTCACCACAAAAGCCAGCCAGCGCTCTTAGAGTTAAGCAGATTGGCCGGTGCCTTAGCCAGTTGCCACATTCTGGACTTGTTCGATTCAGCTTTGAACTTCCCATGGATGACTCGCCATCCCCCATGGGCCTGCCAGCACATCTGATAGGACCATCAGGCACTCCGGCCCTCCTCCCCGAAACTTGCCCACTTGCCTCCTCACCGTGGGTCATTTACAAAACATGGAACGAAAAAAACACAGCCATTATCGCCGCTGCTATTATTGCTGTGCCCTTATTTTTTATGTTACTCCGTTTATATTCTTATTATTATTTATAAATTACATACATACATGTACAGTATCATCACCACCCATCCACACACTCATACACTTATACACTCACATACCCTGCTGGTCACTGGTCTACTACTACTAGTCTACCTTCCATCCACCTGCTCTCTCCCTAGTCAAAACCAAGAATACGAGATGCGACCTCACATCTTTTTTGCGGGGTGTGTGGCGGAGGACCAACCAGTCAGGCGACGGATGCTGGATGTGGGGGAATCCATCATCCACGCAAGGGGAGCTCTGGCCTCCTCAACTACAGAGTAACGATCGACTCTGTCTTTCCGCGCTGCACACCTGATTCTCCAGCAATGAAATTATTGCCTACTATTTTGGCCTGGAGAAGGTGGGCTGAAGCCAAGTTCTCCTGATCGCTACTGATCGATAAATACCACTCCAAACGGTTTTACCAGTGACCCAGGTCCGACTGCATCTGCTATCTAACCATCCCCTGGGGGTTTCGCTGCATCAGCACAAGTAGACTGATCTTCATCCTCAAAGACTTGTGAAAAATAACTTTTTCCAGTGATACCATACTAACACTATCCCTCATTCTAAGATATACTCCAACCGTAAGGGTCTGACTCTGTAGGACGAGAGGTACCCTTGAATACATGTAATACAATGATGCCATACGGCCATATCTCCAACTGCTTTCCCCAATGCCCTTCGAACCCTGCTCCTAGGACTCACCGCTGATTGCTGGTGGTAATCTGACCCCGTTCATCTGTTCCAGAAAGAATCGTATATGTGGACGCCGCGGGGACCTCGCTCTACCCGACTCAATCACGGCTTTCCAGCTTGCTTGGCTGGTCCAGGGGCCTCTTTGCCTCTTTGTCCGGGTCCATCATGTTGCTTGGAGCTTGACATCTTTCCGCTGAATAGATACATTCCACCTTCGGTCATGTCCGTTGGTGCACTCCTGTTCTTATGGGGCGCATTCCCTACGCCTTCGAAAGGGGGCAGAAATCCATGTGCATTAACATTCTGCGAGACAGCCAAGGCAGCTGTTTTCTGAAAGGCTAGACCACGGTCCTTGTTGAAATACTGCGTCAGAAGCTGGGGATACTGCTGTCTCATTTCTTCCACGCTGGTCTGCCTCGCCGGGTCAATCGGGTTTACCAACGTTGGGGGGCTGCGTGGCTTGTATATCGATAGTCCTCCTGGCTGACCCAAGTTCTGCCCTCGAGGACGTTGAGGACCTGGTAGAAAGGCTTCATTCGATACATGGGGATGCTCAAGTGGACCACGGGATCTGCTGCGCAACATCATCAGCTTGATTGCCTGTGCTCGAAGATTCTTACTACCTTTCGGCCATCTCTCGATTCGCCCGTTTTTCTTTGATCTTCCGTAGCTTTTTGTCACGTCGATGCCTGCAAACTTAGTATTCTCCAGAGTTATACCATTCCAAGGCGGACGGTACTTACTCTCCTTGATGAACGGTAGCCCATGAGTCCGTCGTTGACACATACGACGATATAGATTGATGGTCATCACCCTCTTCCATCTCTTTCGCACTCATGTACGGGCCCATTGCGCTGTGCAGTCCAGGCCTTCGCAGCTCCTTCCCGGGCTTCCAGGCCTTGGTTGAGTGTCGCATCAGAGGTGCATGAGCTTCATGCTTGTCTGATAGTCCCTTGACGGCACCCGCCTCACTTTCCGCGCGATTCTTGCGGTTGTGCTTAGCAGGCACGGCTGACAGCAACCCGCGCGGCTCATGAAGTTCATCTCGCCTTTGTTTAATCAATTTGGAAGTAGCGGCTGATAATTCCCGAAGAAGCCCATCGAGTGGTTCGCCTCGGCGAGTGGCCTCCTCAATTTGATGATGCACCTTTTCAACGTCCAAAGCGGTTATCTTCGAAGGTGTTTTCCATCCAGCAGTTCCGTCAGTAGTTCTCGATTTGGCCTCGCCATGCGTCTGGACCTGTTTGTCTGACCTCTTGGGTTCGATCCGTGTCTCAATTCCTCGTGCGGCATGCGAAAAGCTAGCATCCTTGATTGAGTTATGGTTTGGACGTACCTCTGTTGAGCCGATTGTCGCATTGTATGGGTAGGTTTCAGATACAGCATGTAGTGGCATTGATGCGTTAACGGTCTCATTGAGGGAGAGCGACTGCGAAAGGGCGTTTGCTAGTGGCAGCATCGAAAAAGCTGGAAGCGCAGAAGCGGAGCTGGGTGTGCACAGCGAAGGTCCCATTAGAGATGGACTACCTGTGAGGCCGCTGGCGACATACATTGATGCGACGTTCGAGGGATGTTGCCTGATTGGGATCGTTGTGTTCAATCTTCCAGAAACCCATTCGAGATGTTCTCTGTATATTCTCACCGCATCCAATTCTCTCACCAAACTCATTCGCTGATCAACTAGAATCTTTTTGGCACTTGGGTCGAGATCCCAACTGTGCACAGCCATATACCTATCAATACCGGATAGCTTACTGGTAAGAGACTCATGCTCCTTTGCAGCATCTTCCAGAGACTTCTGGTACGTCGGTGTTTGAGGAGTGCTAACCATCATTGGTTGATTAAGAGCTGGGACTTGCCCACCTGCATATTGATGCCATTGAGGGCCCAGAGAAGGACAAAGAGAGTCATAGGTAGGTGGAAGCTGACCAAGAAATGAGGTCGCCCTGCCGCTACTTGTATTGCTTTCCGCGGAAAAGTCAGAAGTCGTGGTAACAGTGGGATATGGCTGGACTGCTGGCATGGAAGGGATTACGGGGCCTTGAGTACCCAGGGTAGGATACATGTTTGAAGCCCACGATAATGGACCATCTCCAAAGGCATACATAGGGTAGTCCGAGGCCGCTGGTATAACTTCCGGGGCTGGTAAGGCGATTTGAGGTATTGGTAGGTCACTCATGGCCCATGGAAGACTGGGTTGGGAGAACAGCCCTGTGGTAGCTGCCGTAGAAAGAAGAGTCGGTGCTTGTCCATAGTTTGAGAAGTGCTGGTCAATTGCACTACCGCTTTGAGGCAGTATGGTACGTATATCGTCGTGACTTTCAGCAGGCTGCGGTGCAGCTATAGAAATATTAACACTTGCGTTGTTATCTTGCAACAACACATGTTTGTTTTCGCGTTTGTTTCTAGTGTCATCTCGCAATGAAGGCTTAGATATCTTCTGATCACTGGCTCTTGCACTTATGTTGCGCACCGGCTGCTTCGCCTTGGGGGTAGGGGACTGTGGTTCCATTGGAACGATTCGGCCTCCAGCAGTGACACGCTGGTGCTTCGGGGATGTATGCTCCTTTAGAAACTGAACAAATCCGGCATCGGCGTGCGCGCGGATGCTCTGTGGAGGGTCACTTGGCTGCCGAGAGGGATAAATTACAGCGTGCTCTGGAACTGAAAGAGTTCGTTCGCTCTGGCGTGACAAGTTTGAGGCATTCCTTGACCGGTTGACCGGCTGCTCTGACAAGACACTCGTACTGGGTTTACGTTGTCGAAGGACGTTATCTAGTGATAAAGAGACTTCTGTGTCAGCAAAATATTCTTCTTCGTTTCCAGCATTCACTACTAACATTAGATAAGAAAAAGAAAGACTTACTTCCAACGGCCTGCTCAGTAAATTTGCTGAAATCTATCCGTCCATGGTTGCTGAGTGCCAGCAGGGTGGGAATGTCATACTTGACCATGGCTGTTCCTAGTGGATACAACACACCGGTGGATGCAAAATAGGAAAACCGAGCAAGCAGCTAGTGGCTCTGAGTGAAGGCTTGAAAGAAAGAGATAGACGATTCGGACTCTGTCTCTTGTTTAAACAGCGTGCTACAATGAAGAACTGACTGTATCGGAAGTGCTGGTAGGAATATCTTCATGCACGAACTAGGAAAGTGCGCACGCGACTTGGGACATATTGCTCCTGCCCTTGGGATAAGCCGGAAGGAAAAAGAGGAGGAGCCAGTAACCTCGTCAGTCTAGGCACTGGCGCGCCGAAAGTAACCCAGTGCGAGTCTCATGAAGTTTGTTTTGCATGTACCAGCTACATTGCCTAATCGAGTGCAGTGGATCACGGGTTGAAATACATACATAGCTGGGTGGACCGTAAATTGCAGTGATGGAGTCGAACCGCCCAATCAGTTGCTGTGGTATAGTTTGCAGGAGGAATCATCAAGAAGAGATAGCTCTGGCAGCCAGAAGTCCAGAGTGGTGATAGTAATGGCCAACATATTCTGTTGAATGATAGAGACATAGACGCTTGAAGCAGCTCAGCAAGAGCGATACCACAACAAAGTAAGAAAGCATCCCACCGTCTCGAAATGACAGCGAGGAAGCATAACTTGTGTCAAACAAGGCTCCAATAGGCAGTAACCGGTCCTATGGTGTTTCTGTATGAAGGTATAATAAGTTGACCTTCTTTAGAAGCCCATCAAGAAATGCTACCAATTGGTAGCAGAAGTAAATGGGATGCTTAATGCGATGGCGCAGGATGTACGTTGCGTCGGTAGGATGGCCTTTGTTCGCTACTATCTACTATTTAACCGTATTACTGAACTGATATGTGCTTGCGTTGCGGAGAGATCATGCTTTATATGATAATCCAGAAATCCCATTATGTTTATTCGAATATCTACACCATCGGCCCTCGAATATGTGTCATGATTGTGTAGGACACCAGTATCGTTAACTATTCCCGTACCCTAAAGCCACAACCCTGATAATTCGCTGTTCTAGCATAGCTTATCGGCAACGAACGTGCCAGGCCTCACAAAAGATTGAGTCTATTGCATCATGTAGCAACAGGTGAAATTGATCGCAGAGCTCGCAAATGACTCAAGAATATAGGTGCGCGCCACCGAAACATGGCAGAAAGCCGCAAGTTCCAGGGCTCCCACGATGGAAACATGCACAAGGTAGAACACCTGCTGCCTGGACTTGGCAGAAGTTGGTTTCAACCAGCGTACCCAGCGAGGCATGGCTGCCGGACGAGCAAAGAGAGCGACCGCGCCCACCATGGTGGCAGCAGCGATACCCCACTGGACATCAGAATCCCAGATACGCTTCGCAAAGAGCGAGCCGAAATCAGGGTGGCTCGACTGCAGGAAGAAAGAATCGTACATGACAGCGTGGGCGATGAGCAGCGGCGCAAGAACAATCCGACCAAATAGACGATGGTAGGCGTTGATGGTCGGCTGCGGAACGGATGTGATAACCGACACGACGGACGGTGATCCTGGTGATGGACTCATGTACAGGGCCGGTGACATGAGCACCTGCAAGGGGAGCTGGGAGAGGCTGACATGGGCTAGAGCTTTGGTAAAGTGGAGATAATCTGTTTATATCAACAATAGCTTAGCTTTCGTCTCCACGATGTGGGTGATTTAAGAATATGAGACACAGGATTGTTGTAGTTCGCGGGAGCTTAGATGAACACAAAGTGTAGATTCTGGCAAATCGGAGCCCAGACAAATGTAATCCTATGCCCCAAACCCGACCATCTCGGGTACTAGTAGTATCGGGAAATATCATAGAAAAGATTGACCCACCTTCACCAGAATTCCAGATGCAAAGACTCAGCAGCCAGCCAAGCCAGATGAGACAGACGATGTATTGTCTTCGAGTCTCCATCCAGCCAGCAACTGGGGGCGTATCCAACCATGATTTCTCCAGGTTCTTTCGCCGCGAGCGCCTCTCGGTTGGCTTTTCGGTGTCAGGGGCTTCGCCAAAGGACTTCTTATATAGTCGAATCAGAACAAGAGCAGCCAACACCGAGCACTGCGCGTAGAATCCACGTAAATCCAGAAGCTCCCGACGTTGCTGCTTCTCAGCGTCTGTGAGAGACGTGAAATGCCACGGCCAAGAAAACGACATTGTATTCACGGCTGCGGATAAGTAAACAACAAGGTTAAGAAATGAGGCGTCTAGCAACGTCAACGGCAGTTTAGAGATATTGAGCAACCTCTCAGGCTCAGGAACCACACGTGGACTAAAGATTAAATAGACGGATGCCTGGCTTACACCGACGGCTTTACGGAAGTAGCGCATCCTAGGCCCTCGGGATCACATGATACTGAATGAGATCTACCAAGTTGTTTGCTGCTTCTAATCAGCGATTCTCCTGAAATAGCACTTGTGTGCTACACATTTGCGATTACATCTTCGGGAAACATAAGAGAAAATTTTTTGCAGGAGGGTTGATCGTGGACCAAAAGAATCTACATTTAGAACGCCATGAGCATTTCGTACCAGTCAGACGCTCTGACTATTTCTAAGTTTGACAAAACTGAATTCCACCCAAATTAGTGCGAGTGCCGTTGATATTACTCCCACTCACACCCAAGGTGCTTTGCATCAACAAGCAGGTGCTGGCCTACGCCGAGTTGGGAAAGTAGCCTACGGTGAAGTCTGCATGACTTCCTCATGGCCGCCTGCGGCAGTCGTTGCGAAGTACCGAACATCCACGTCTTCGTCCTCCTGCAGCTTCTCCAAGCTGGGGAGGATTCTTTGCTGGATGAGGTCCTGACCCCGCGGGGATGGCGTGGCAGTTTTACCTGCCTTCTCCAGGTCTGTGAGGGTTCCCTCTGTAGGGAGGCGACGCAGGGTATCGATCAGCACGGCATAAGACTTGGCCACATTGAAACGGATGTTAGGGATCTCATCCGAGACAAGTCGATCCAAGATGGGGAGAATCGAGTTCTCGATGATGTCCAGAGAAACAACGGGTGCGAGAGTCTGAATAAAGTTAGCAGGGCAATGTCTGTAGGAACGATCAATCAACATACGGAGATGGCAAAGCATGTTGTCATTCTGTACAGGTAGTTGGTGTGTTGACCCATCCCCATCACCTTGGGGATGATAGAGCCCTTAGCCCAGTCGACACCAAACACTTCCGTCAGCTTCCTCAGATTTTGAGTAGCAGCCTCGCGAATGGAGAAAACAGTATCACCGAGCCAGCCCATGCAAAGCTCGCTGAGCTGTTCGTCGAAGAACTTGACTCCCAATTGGCTTGCAAGCAGGGGAATGTATTCGATAATCGCGAGACGCACTCTCCATTGCTTGTCTTCAGCCAGCTGGACAATAGCCGGGAGAAGTGACTGTGAGAGAAGATCGATGCCGATAACTATAACAATTAGATTATGTATGCTTTATAATGAACGCGAGTTGTTCGTCTCACCTTTGTTAACCAATTCCAGCTTGGAGATGATATGAAGGCGGACATCGGGGAACTCGTCCTTGAGCATCTGCAAAAACATCGGGAGGAGGTGCGCAATAGTCCTGAACATGGCTTGTAAGTAAGCTAATCAAACGGTGTCTGCGAATCGGTGGTACTGACTCCTCCTTTCCGAGTATCGGTGCAAGACCGCTGATCTGAGTACCAAGCGCGGCGCGCACATGCTGAGATGGATCAGAGACAAGGTCTTCCACGCTAGTCATGATTTCGTTGAGCAATGTGTCTCGGTCAATCAGATTGCAGAAGCCTAACGCCGGTTAGCCATTGTAAGAGCCTAAAGTAGGCGAGAATCATACCTGGGATCTGTCCAGCAATGGCAGTACGGACTTCGGCTTCGGTGTCCTTCAGAAGCTTGACAAAAGAGGGAACCATATCACGAGTTACGACCTCTTCGTGCACAGCTTTAGCGATCTACCAACGAGGTCAGAAAAGGCACAACACACGGCGGAAGGAGCATCGTCAGGACAGAAGATACCTTCTCATATCTATCAGCAACCATGTACCTGACTCTCCAACTCTTATCCTCGAACAGGTTGCGCAAGGAGGTCAAAAGAACACCATGGCTGGGCTGCTGCTCCTTGGGGATCTCTTCCGCGATCGAGATGAGAACATCCACTGTAAGCAAGCGGACACTGTCCTGCTCGTCTGTTGCAAGGTGCTGAAACAGGGGTATCATCTCTTCGATAACGATTTGGGTATTCAATTCTTTGATAAACTTCGCCAAGTTGTTGCCCGACTGTCTCCTCACCATCGGTGTGTCATCATGTACGAGGCCTCCATAGTATTGCCGAAGGGTCTGCTGTGATGAGGGAGAAGCCTTCCTATACGGAACACAGTACAGGCCGGTCGCGGAAACCTTCGAGGTGAACCAGTCGGCTTTCGACAGGCGTAGGACCATCGGGATGAAATTCTCTTCGATCTGCTTCTCGGACAACTGCTCGCCGATCTTATTGAGGGATTCCACAGCCTGAAACAATGTCAGCACGAAGGGAGAGTACCACATAAAAACGGTTGCGGCTCTCTAACCTTTTCTCTGACCAGAGGCTCTTCAATAGCGGCCAAGTTCTCGAGCGGAGAGAGGAGTACATGCCCGTACTCCGGACCCCCGACATACTCTATGAAATTACCCAGCTCTTCACTCAGTGCAGTCAAAACCTCATCTTCATCCTCGACGGAATCTATGGCGCAAGAGTTAGGGGAAACATTTTGACCAGAAAGCTATCCTTCTTGCGTTGACGGTACTAACCATCAAGGAAAGGGATAAGTTCTTCCCGGGTCCGCTCGGGCCCTAAGGCCAAAGCGATAGTAGACAGACGGTGGATGGCATTGAGGCGGAGGAGTACATCGTCATGCTGTGACATTCTCAGGATCAGGACTGCCGATGTTCGTGCGTCAGGGATAGGATGGCCACGAGGGCAACTATACCTTCAACTCATCAATAAGGACGGCGATAGGGTAAAGCTCGTCGTTCTCTCCTTGGCCCTCCATTGCGAGAATGATATATGAGTGTGAGGTTGATTGTTAGGGAAATACGCAGAGAGGCAAGGATGTGACCGGTCCAAGTCCTCGTTCAGGCTACGATCCGACCCGCTCGCACGCGAACACGACGAATATTTCCTAGGAAGAAAGGCAATCCGGCAAAAGGGGGCGGGGATATCGTGAAGAGGAAGGAGGATGCTAAGAACCTATACAGAGGTGAAAAGGTATCGAGTTAGCGGGGGGGAAGTGTGGTGGGAGGGAGAGGGAGATAGTAGAGGGTGAGTTGAGAACCCCGGAGCGAGGTTTCGTGGGGTTTGGGCCGCCGCAGGACACTTGAGCAACAACAGCAGCAGCAAGAACATCAGTATCATCATACCTCGACAATTGGACCGGGACCAAACAGGGAATATGGTCCAATCTAAGATAATCGTGAAAGATAGAAGGCCCCCGTATATGATGCGACAGGGGTTAAAATGGAAGACTTGTGAGCGGTGATATCAAGCTAATCCGTGGAGGGGGGGGAATTGCGAAGGTGACGAGATGGGCTTGCTGGAGAGGTTGCTTTGGACTTGTTGGAGGCCGGACTGTGGCTGGTGAAGGGGAGAGCGCAAGCAGGCGGTGTACTGTCCCGTACGGAAGTCCGAGTCCGGTGAGGGTCGAACCTCCAAGCAAGAAAAAAAGGAGGGGTGATGGTCTTGTGGCGGTGCGCTTTAAGTGGCTTTGCCCGCCGCCCTCACAGAGGGTCAAGCCCCAACGGGGAACAAAAGACTTTATGACTCCGACTAGACTAACTGTAGAGTTACCCAAACGGTGGCATACTGTCCGATTGAAGCCCAGCGCTCTTGTTGCCCGTCCTCTTTTTCCCCCCCGCTGATTACTTGCGGTTGACCTCGTGGTGGGACTTACACAGACTATCCTTCTCCTCAGGCAGTCTGTTGGTTTTCTTCTCCCTCTTAACTTTTCTTATTGCCCTGTCTTGAACCTCCCCCGCTCATCACCATGCCTACCATCTCCGTTGACAAGGAGGCGCTTTTCAAGGCGCTCGGTCGGGAGTATGCGCAATTTATCCCCTTGGATACTCTTTCTTCATACTGACCAACCTCCCTAGTTATACCACCGAGGAGTTCGACGAGCTGTGCTTCGAATTCGGTACGTCGGACATCCTGAACCGGGATTGGCGGGGCAATGCGCTAACTACTACTTTTCCACAGGAATTGAACTCGATGAAGACGTATATTCTCCTCCGACCGTTTTCGCCTCTTGAAAGTCACAGTATTAACTCAAACCCAGACCACCAACTCGGACAGACCGATCGTGAACGGCAAGCAGGAACCCCCGCAGCTCAAGATCGAGATCCCCGCCAACCGGTACGCACCCGCGATAACTCTAATGATCCAAAATTCACATACTGAGAGGTGTCTAGATATGACCTGCTGTGCTTCGAGGGTATCGCCCTCATGCTCAACATCTTCCTAGGCCGTCAGCCTCTCCCCAACTACAAGCTGGTCGAGCCTGCCAATGGTGAACTCCAGACCATCATCGTCAAGGAGGACGTATGTTACGACCGAAAATCTGGCTCAACATGAATGAAACTAAAATGTGAGCGTAGACTATGAAGATCCGTCCCCTCGTCTCCGGTGCCATTCTCCGCAATATCAAGTTCGACCAAGCGCGTTACGAATCCTTCATTGCCCTGCAAGACAAGCTCCACCAGAACCTCGCCAGGCAAAGAACCCTTGTTTCCATCGGTACCCACGATCTGGACACCATCCAGGGCCCTTTCACATACGAGGCCCTTCCCCCGAAGGACATCAAGTTTGTCCCTCTCAACCAGACGAAAGAAATGAACGGCGAGGAGTTGATGGCTTTCTACGAAGTATGGCCCACAGGTGTCTGACGAGACGAATTTACTAGGTGCTTACTATGTAACAGAAAGACAAGCACTTGGGCAAGTACCTCCACATCATCCGCGACTCCCCCGTTTACCCCGTGATCTACGACTCCAAGAGAACCGTCTGCTCTCTTCCTCCTATCATCAACGGTGATCACTCCAAGATCACCCTGGACACCAAGAACGTCTTCATCGAGATCACTGCCCTTGACAAGACGAAGGTTGAGATCGTTAACCGGATCATTGTGTCCATGTTCTCTCAATACACCTCCGAGCCTTTCACGTAAGCCCGCTTCCTCTCGGTTCTAATAATAAACCCCTGCTCACTGGACGAATAGGATTGAGCCTGTTAAGGTGATCTCCGATCACAACAACGAGACTAGAGTCGTCCCCGACATTGCGCCCCGTACGACTCAGGCCGAGGTCTCCTACCTCAACCAGTGCTGCGGCCTGGAGCTCTCCCCCGAAGAGATTTGCACTCTCCTGAAGAAGATGGCTTACGATGCGAAGCCCTCTACCGCTTCCAAGGATCTGATTGATGTGTTTATCCCTCCGACGAGAGCCGACGTTCTCCACCAAGCCGACATCATGGAGGATGTCGCCATCGCTTATGGCTTCAACAACCTTCCCCGGTCTTTCCCCAGCAAGTCCGGTACCATTGCTCAACCCCTCCCCATCAACAAGCTTACCGATATTGTGCGCATGGAGGCTGCCATGGCCGGCTGGTCTGAGGTGCTGCCCCTGATCCTGTGCTCGCACGACGAGAACTTCGCTTGGCTCAACCGCAAGGACGACGGAAACACCGCCGTCAAGCTGGCCAACCCCAAGACCACTGAGTTCCAGGTTGTCCGCACAAGCCTGCTGCCCGGTCTGCTCAAGACCATCCGTGAGAACAAGCATCACGCCGTGCCCATGAAGGTCTTCGAGGTCAGCGATGTCGCTTTCAAGGACCTGTCTCTGGAGCGTAAGAGTCGTAACGAGAGGCACTTCGCTGCTGCCTGGTACGGCAAGACGAGTGGTTTCGAGGTTGTCCACGGTCTCCTGGACCGTGTCATGGCCATGCTCAAGAGCGCTTTCATCACTGGCGAGGAGGGCCTTGAGAACTCCGCTATGGCTGACTCTCAGTACTGGATTGAGGAGCTTGACGGTAAGTCAGAAGCAATTAGACATCCCGAGATATACAGGTCACTAACTAGACGCCTTAGAACCCACCTACTTCCCCGGACACGCCGCCTCCGTCCACGTGCGCATAGCTGGCAAGGAGCACGTCATCGGTGCCTTCGGTATCCTGCACCCGACGGTGTTGGAGAACTACGAGTTGAAGTACCCCGTCAGCACTCTGGAGATCAACGTCGAAGCTTTCTTGTAAGCGACGGCGTGAGGTCAAAGCAAAGTCATGCGTAGACGATAGATGTTACATAGAAAAGTAGCTGATGCCATGATTGATTTATTTTATTGTTACTTCTTAATGTCATCGTCACCAGGAACGAGAACTGTCAGAAGCCAAAAGTAGTCTATCACAATTTACTAGTGTGTTCAATAATACTCATGATATATAATACAGCAGGTGTTGAAAACTTCGCCATCACTCCGTCGGCTCAGCTGCAGTAAATCTTAGTACTAGGAGTACTATATCTTCCTTGGTCTGGTAATAGTTAGTACTCTTAGTTCAAGCCCATTGAACTTACCTCATACTAACTCTTCCTGCCGTAAGAGTACAGTGGTAACTTCTTATAGTAGTACTAGGCTTATGGGGCAACTTAAAACAAGATGTACTTAGTTCAGTTAGTACTAACCGATGATATATATATACATAAACCATAATATGTAGGCAACCAACTACGTATACCAGTAACAAGACTACACAATCCTACGAAAGGACAGACACAAATTCAATACCAGCAGACCAAACAATCTCTTTTCCCCACGTGCCTAGGTACTAGTACTACTTTAAGATTCCAGGTCCTACCCAGACCCAGCCTATGACGTAAGCCAATGAGAATACTAGGAAGAACAACCAACTCATCAACCTTTCCATTCTTCTCATTCCCAGTTCCGCCTAGAGTCTCCACTAGACAGGAAAAAATACAACCACAGAAGGGCGTCTCGCAACTATCCTTCCCCCATCATTCATGATAGGGAGAGAGGGAGAGCCGGGAGTTGAATAAACAGCTTAGAGGTCATCAAAGTAGTTGTTTATTTGGATGCGTCATAGGTAAGAGATATAGAGAAAGAGGTTTCGAGTTAGGTTAGGTTAGGTTAGGTTAATGGGCGGGACAGGAGACTAGGTAATGAAGATGATATTCGAGAACAGGGAAGAAGAGAAGCAGGGCCTAATGGAGAAGAAAAAAAAAACCAAATGAAATTTCTTTTGTTTGGGATATGATTTTTTTTTTCTTTACTCCTGGGCGTAAGCCTCGGCACCGGCACCCTCCTGGGCCTCGGTGGCCTGCTGCTCGGCCAGACGCTGCTGCTCAGCGGCCTGCTGAGCGGCAAGAGCCTTGGCGCCGTAGTCCTGGCTCATGGGCTGCAGGACGGGCTGCTCCTCCTTGGGCTCGATGATGGTGACGGCATCGGGGAGAGTCTTCTGGGGACCGGCCTTGCCCTCGGGGTCGGAACCGCGCATGATCTTGACCTTGATACCGAGGACACCCTGGCGGAGGAGAACGTGGCGGGTGGCGCTGTCGATGAATTCCTTGGCGGGCTGACCGGAGTGGATCATGAAACCGTCCTATTTGGAAGAAATATCGTTAGTTTTTCTGTTACTTTTATATCATGCATATGATGGAGTGGTTCTTCGAATGGTAGGTGTATCTTCGGTTCGGTCCTTGCACAGTTGCTTCGTTTTCGCAGATCGTAGTTGGTAATGTTGTCGTTGGATATGCGCAAATTCCACCACTGCTTCGGGACCGATCCGACCATTCGAAAAATGAAACTCAATCGCTTGTTGATAGACGTACAGTGAACTTCATGGACTTGGCACGGGCAGCACGGAGCTTTCCGGAGACGACAACCTCGCAACCCTTGGCACCGCTCTCCATGATGAAACGGAGGACACCGTAGCAAGCACGGCGGACGGCCAGACCGTTGAGGAGCTTGTAGCGGAGGGACTCGCACTGAGCGACGGCGGAGAGACCGCGGTTCTGGACCTTGGCGGCATAGAGGGAAACGGAGTTCTCGGGGAACTTGAAGCGCTTCTGGATGAGGGAGGTGAGCTCGCGGATGCGGCGGCCCTGCTCACCGAGAACCTCCTGGGTGTGGGTGGCACGGATGACTGTAAAGAAAGAGAGCATCCGTTAGCAACTGGCACATATATTCCATCTTCTTTTGCATATAAAAAATCGTCTCAAATCCCCAGTAGTTTCCCGTTGTTGGTTGAAATATTCCAGGCCGTATTCCGATAATTGTTTTCCTTTTCCTCCTCCCGGATGAACCATTCATTCGTCCCATATCGGTTCTTCATATCTCCAAATTCCGGCCTTTTCCAACACAACACATAGGGTCTGGAATCAAATGCAAAATGAAATATCGGGCGGACGTACTGATGTCGGTGACGGTGGGAGTGACACGGACTTCGACGCCGGAGTATCCCTCCTCAGCCAGCTCGCGCTGGAAGAACTCGTTCAGCTCGGCATAGAAGACACCGTCGGCGACGAACTTGCGGCGCTTCGAAATAGCTCCCTGGACAGCAGCCATGATTGCGTTTCTGTTTTATTGAATTGGCGAAGAAACGGCCGAGGGCGTAGGTTGGGGGTGTGTCGTGCGAGGGCGAAATGGGCGGCGGCGGTCAAGTCAGTTTTGAGAGAGCCGGCGTTAGTGGGCAGTTTTTGCCTTTAGGGCTTCTGCTGGCCCTTCTGGGCTAGGGCTCAACCTCGCTTGCTGTTCGGCGGGCACCTTCCCTTTTTGGGCCGCCAAGCCCCTTAGTCTACAATCCCGCTTTCTGCCTCAGATTTCAGGGGTTCAGGCATTAACTCTGATTGTTTTCTAGTTCTAGTTACAGTAGCTATGGACTTCAATCCAAGATCACAAACTGGAACTAACACTCAAAGCCCATATCCCGACTCCAGCATCTGTATGCATTCTGCTGGTTCCCGCTCTTTTGTATTCATTTAATCATAATCTTCTCTCTGTCTCTCTGTCTGACTGTAAACTGTACTCTACTTCCCCGGAGATGCAACGTCCCAAGCACGCACTAGATCCACAAGCATACGTCGCAGAGATGATACGAAATTTCTTGCTCGAGCCGGGCATACCCAGATCGTGCACCATGATCCACTGCCTCGTAACCACATCATCACAGCTTTCGTTGCGTGGGCTACTGCATCTCCACTTCCATCCGATTCAAGCTCTTAGGATCCTGCCCGTCCTCTTTGCTCTTAGGGAAGGCTAGATTCGAGATTCCCGCAGTTACTGCCGCCATTCCAGTGGAGGCTGCACTTAAAGTATCTTTCCCAGACGATCCAGCGCCGAGAGAATGATTAGCGGTTTCAATTCCGGTCAGCACTGGTGATGGCTGAGTACTAGTCGCATCACGCCCAATGGGTGGCCTAGAACCAGAGGACCGCACGCCGTTCATCTCCGCATCGGTGCGACCAAACGACTCACTCCACCATCTGACCTCGTTGATTCGGGGGAAGATCAGTCGCTCCTGTCCACGCTTGTGGTCGTCGATCTGAGGTTCGTACTGTGGATTGGTAAACTGCTCCCTCCGCGCCAGAAAGTAGTCCCACACGCTCCGAGTTCGTTCCTTCGCGTTCCAATCTGCGCGTTCTTTCTCACTGTTGAAAAGAAAGGTTCCAAATTGGCATGAATAGAGGTGGTATAAAAGACGGCGCAGGAACCGCTCGTTGAATTCGAATCGGGTAGGATATTGGTACAGCAACTGATACGTTGCATCAAGGAATTGATGGAAGACTGGACTCGTCTCCTTCACCTTGGTAACCTCCTTGTCGGCGGCGGCGGTTCGGGGTAAAGCATTGTTAGGCTTCTTCAGATTTTCTGCGTCGTAGCTTTGCATCTCCCCATCTGATTCTCCGATTGCGTCGCGGCTGTTGTTATCTCTATTAAAGAATCCTTTGGCGCTTAAGAACGCATTCTCAAGAGCTCTGCCTGCGCCACCGCCTTCGCCAAACCCACGGTTGGAATCACCCCCAATCCGCTCGTTCTCGATTTGGAACCACTTCTCACTGTTCAGGTGTCCTGATCTGTGTCGGAACATGTGACCGAAGGATAGCCAATCTTTCTCCACCAGTACCATAAAGCCTTCCATCGTCCTATAGTAAGGATCAAGGCAGATCTGGCTCAGTGCACTCAACTGACTCGTACGATCCCATCCATCGGAACAGTGAATCAAGACGTGCGAATGCTGGAGACCAACCTGCCGAGCGATCAACCGAGCACCGTCTAGAATTCCGGAAATGTGCTTTAGCCATCCACTCCGTGCAAGTTGGTCTTTATTAGGACCCAGTGGGGTTACATCTGAATCCTTGAGCGCATCAATCACCTTGCTCAATGAGTCTCTCATCACATGGATATTGTCAATTCCAAGGTAAGCCTTGGTGGCAAATTTGTAGTTGTCCATGTTCTCCGATCCAAGCCCAACAGCTTGCATGGCGAAGGCATTGACCGTGGGACGAGCATCAACAATGAGATTGTGCTGCTGGGCACCATAAACTTGGGCTTTCCCCTCCGGATTCTCGCGGACAGGGCTCAACAACTCATCTTCCAAGTCATCAGGGACAGTCAGATCAGCCAGCATATGACTGCGTGAAGCGTTTCCTGGGGTCGAATTGGAGGAATCCGAATCGAAGCCAGGCGGGGTGAAGCTTGCAAGAGGTCTCTCTGAGCGCGAGGTTGAAAAGATAGCCGCTAGCAACGCTTCGTCTTGAATGCTGCGATTTTGTCGCACACCGACAAGAGGCTGTGAGCTCCGTGTGATTGAGCAGTTGTTCACCGGATGAAGATATGTAAGAACTGGCACTCTCGCTCGGGACCGATACTTTCCGGCGTGATTAAGTGTATTGTCAGAAATGGCCGAGGGGACCGGTAGAAGAGCTGGATAGGTGGCAGAAAACTGGAAAGTAAGAGTCAATACAGCAACTCACACGGTAATTTGCGTGGAAATTTACCCCGTAGTCTGTATTCAGTTGAGAGATCCGCCATCCAGAACCAGCCTGATCGACGCCTTGTCTAGCCCATTCTTTGCTAGGATTGTACAGTTCCCAACCATTGAATTTCTGTTCAGGAGGGGGAGGGCGGTATGAGAAAGCGTACAGCTTATCAATGCGGCCCACTTTACAGGTCCAGCATTTGATGGTTTCGTAAACGTCACGCGCCTTGCTCTCCGTGGTGAAATAGAAGCAGACAAAGGTGAAATCACGGCACCGGAGACGAATGGAGGACGGCTGGCGGGATGCGGCGGGGGTGGGGCGGCAGGTGCACAAGGAGATTATGGGGTATGTGATCCAAAGCTCTTTTGGCCGACCAGAAGGGCCCGGAGCCTGAGACGCATCGGTGGAGGAGGAAGGAGGAGGAGGAGGAGTGTGAGAGAAGATAATATGGTGAGGGGTGAGGTGGAGAGTGCCGACCACTTGCTCGCCTCGGCGCGCCAAGGTCACATCTTCAACCTGAAGCATCACAGAAGTCGTTAGTCGGGATATCTCATCGTGGGTGCGCTCGACTGCTGGATTGAAGCACTCAAATAGCACTGACCTTAGCAACCCGTGTTCTCTCCATGCCTGGCCGGTTACTCGGTCTGCATCAAATTCATGACTGAACACACACCGATTGGGCACCACGGACTTGCAGCACGGTCGGCGACTACTGGAGCTGCAGACCCGTGAAACGAGAAAAATCAAATGAAAGAGGAGAGCGCAAGAAATCAAAACGGTTCACAATATGTAAATGGAGAGGAACGAGGCTTAGAAGTGAAAGATGACAGGCGACATTTTCAGCAGTAACAGCAGCACGGACACTCGGCCAAATGCGGAGCCCCTCGCTAGTCTGAACGGAAGTTGAACCATCCATCACTTCTCCAAAAAAAAAAAAAGCCTTAAAGCCAGACTCCAGTCTGCCAACTACGTCAGTCCCGCCCGGGGATCCTATGGTTTGGTCACTCCGGTTTCTCTTTATTCTGTAACCCCCATCACCATGTTTTCTGCCTCTGACTTCTGTTCTCTCCTGCACCCTAAGATTCCCGGTTTCACTAGTAATTCTTACGTGGCACTCCATTCACTTCTACCCCCTGAAATCTCTGAGTCTGATGAATGTTTCCCCTCATTAGGGCAGCTATTGCTTGTGAGGGGTTGCCATTTTGGGAAACTCATCTGATCTTCAGGGTCAAGTGCTGCTTCTCATAACACTTCATCATCCTCTACTACTCCTATCATGCTGCTGGCGGAACAATTGCTCTTCATCTGATCTATTGCAGTATTACTATTTGCCCTTGTTCTATAATACCATTTCATACCACATCCAATCTGTTATTTTCATAGACATCTCTGTCACCTGACCAACAATATCTAGTATACCTTTTTTTTTTTTTTTTTTTTTTTTTTTTTCGAACCAAACAAGAAAATATGCCAGAACTATACTGTCCTATACCGCCCAAGGACAAGGACATATACCGCTTCCGGCAGCAATTTGGAGCGAGTCTGGGATCTGTCTTTGTACTCGGTCCGCGCAATACTGCTGGCGAGTCAAATGAACTACAGCTACTCAAAACGTAGGTAGTACTAGCCAACACCTTAAAACCTCCCCACACACATGTTTCCTTCCCTTTAGGTACTAAACCGCAGTATATCCTGTCCAGATCCATAGCATCCACCGGACTCGAGCAAACCAAACAGAAATGGGAATCCCACTGGCACTCCGCATTGACCGACAATGACCTTGCCTGGCTCAAAGATGTAGCGCACTGCCGAACCCTCCGCTTACCATTGAGCTTCTACTCCCTCGGACCCGTATTCAGTCGGGGAACATCCTTCGAAGGGGATCCATCAGAAGTGTACCACCAATGCTGGAGTACCGTGAAGCATCTCATCGAAAAATGCTGGTTCCACGGGATCGGTATCCTCATTGATTTCCAGGCCAGTGCCAGCGGTGTAAATCTCTGTGCGAGTGCCAAAGATCGAACAATAGCCCGGGACTGCGTCGCTTTCCTTGCCCAAGAAATAACCTTTCATTCTATGTCCGGGGTAGTCGGACTCTCCGTATCCTCCGGATGTGAACCCGCCCCAGACATGTGCGAATGCTACGACGAAATCATCCAAATAGCCAATGCCATTGACGCATCTCTGCCTGTATACATCAACGACAACCAGGCACAATGTAACAAACGGGTTTTCGAGGGTTGCGAGACCAACATTCCTCAATTCAGGAGCGACATCTCAAATGGTAAAGTTCAAATACCTAGTCAAATGACGCTACCCGAAACAGAAGTCCGAGAGAAAGCCAACCAAGCCAAAGCCGAACGATCACGATTCCAGGAGAAGGCTTTGTCGCAAGTCTCGGAGTCTTGGGGCTCGAATCAACGTCAAAGTTTTGTCCATGGCTGGAACTTGGGATACGATGATGCGTTGCGATTCTTTGGCGCTGGTGTTCAAGGCATTCTGGCACCGCGGAAAGGTGCGGACAAGATCTATGATATAGAGTTGTGGGTTCAGCAGCGCAAAAGAGATATAGACCCGGAGCAGCTGGAGGAGAATTCAGAGGCATGGGAGGATGGTCTTCGGAGAGGGATTATTGATTTCTACGACTTTATTGGAATTTGATTTCAAAAAGCAATTTATCGGTTCGCACTACATACATAGTAGGCCGCTGGCATAAGTTACCGGGGGTTGTGGCCAGTTACATAACCATTACTAATAATTACTGACTAAAATATATAGTAAATATTCTATTATATTATATATAATAGTTATACTAATATTTATATTATATATATAAACTATATCTAAATATATAATTATTTAAAGCTTATTTTATAATTATTTACTACTATAAAAAGCTGATTAATTTTCTTTTTAAATCTATTTAATAAAAGCTATTTTATTTATTATTTATTATATTAAATATATTCTCTACAGTTCATTTACTGTTACTTTATTTTTTCTTTATTAAAAATCTTATATTTTTTTTTTCTTATAATTTTCTTTTTTATAATTTTTTTCTTTATAACTTTCTTTCTTTATATTTTTTTTTATTTATAACTTCTCTTTTTTAAGTATTATTTTTATTTTTATAATTTTTATATAAAATTCTAAATATTTTTACAGAAGGCTAATTTGACATAATAAAAAATAAATTTAAAAATATTATTAATTAAAATATAAATAAGCTGAAAGACTTTTATAGATAATATAAAAATAAAATATTAATCTAAAAAAAACAGATATAGATATAAAACAGAAACTAAAAATACTTTTAATAAAAGAAAATTCAGTTTAAGAAATTATTAAAAAAAATAAAAAAAATTTAATTAAATTTCTTAAACTTAATAATAAAAAAAAATAAAAAAAATAATTATAATTTAATTTTATTAAGCTATATTAACTAAAGCTATAAAAATATCTTAACTAAATTAATAATAATATATAAAAATATAGAACTAGCTTAACCCATATATAAAAATTTATAATTTAAAATAAAATATAAAAATTAACTAAATACAGCTGGAGGTATATTAATAAAATTATATAAAATATAAATAATTATATTATATATTTTATATACTCTGTGAGATCTGAGAATCTGAATTATAAAAATAATATTTTTTATTAAAAAAATCTATATATTAATAAAATAAATATAATAATATAAATATTAAAAAATATATTTATATAAATATATAATCTTTTTTAGATATATAAACCAAGCAGGGGAAGTATACTATTTAAAATATATTTATTAAATAAATATTTTAAAAATAATCTATAAAAGTCTTTTATAATTAATTAAAAAAACTTAAAATATTATAAAATAAGAGTCTATTAAAATTTATTAAATAAGATTTATAAAGACTGCTATTACTACAGAAATTATTAATAATATTATAATTAAAACTGTTATTACTATAAATATTATTAAAATAAAGCTAAAATTTAAATTAAAATTAAATAATTTTAGCCTGTCCAGCCTGTCTACTAATTAATAAAATAAAAAAGAAAAAATAACTTAAAAATATAAATTATTAATAAATAAAAAAAAGTTTATTCTGAAATAATAATTATATATTTTTAATTTTAAAGATCTATTCTAGATATATATAAGAATAAAAACTATATTTCAGCTATTAAAATTATATATATTAAAAAAGATAAAGTATCTAATTAGTATAACTAATAATATTAATATTAATTAAATATTAAATATAAAAATATAATTTAATAATACCCCAAGGCAAAAAAGAGCAAAGAAGATTATTAATATATTAAAAATATTATAAAATAATATTTTTAAATTTACTGTCTACTAGATAGTGGAGAATCTTTAATAATCTTTTAATATTAATATAAATATTAATAATCTTTTAATACAGCCTATATTTAAAGATTATAAAAAAATTATAATATATAAAAAATAATTAAATACAGAGAAATATTAGTTTAATAATAAAAATAAGATCTATATAAATCTAAATATTAATAAAAATAATTTCTAGTTTAAAGACATGATCTACAGCTAATAATTAAAATTTTAATAATTAATTTATATAAATTATATAATTAATATAAAACTTATTAACTTAATAATAAAAATAATAATTATTAATATTATTAAAATAAAAAAAATCTAGAAGACTGTTAATTTTCTTCTATATATAAATATTATATTAGAATATTATAAAAAATTTTTATAATTGATAGAATATAGATTCTTAATTAATAAAAATATAAATATAATAAAATTGTCAGAGATAGAATAAAATCTTTAAAAAATTATTTAATTTTGATTATAATTCTGCTCTATTTAATTAATTAATAAGTAAATAAAATTATATTAATAATTAATTTATTTATTATTATATTATATTATAATAATAATTACTATCAAGAAGAAGACTTTATTAAAAATAAATTAATATAAAAATATTTTATATTTAAAGATAGTATTAACAGTATTAAAATAATTATAATTATATTTTATTAAATATTAAAAATCTAATATAATTCATAAGTAGTTAAAGCATGATATATAATAAAAAAATAAAAATATAATATAATTAATTTAAGAATACTGGCTGGTTTTCCTGGAAATCTATATAATCTTTTTAAAATTATAATATTTAATAAAATATATATATTATAAAATTTATTATTAAAATTATCTTTTATTTATATATAATTATATATAGAATTTAGACTATTATTAACAGCCATATTATTTTATAATAATATAAAAGATTTTTTAGAATATAAAAAGCTCCTCCTCCGGCTTAATTTTTAAATAAATATTATAATAAATATTATACAGGTAAACCAGATAATAAATATTATAATTAGTAATAATAATAAAAAAATTCTTTATAGTCAGTAATTTCTGATTAAGTATATTTTAAATAAAGAAAATAATACTAATACTATCTTATATTAACTCCAAAGAATTCTAGTATAGATAATAATTAGAAGAATATAAGAATCAGTATTATTAATTAAATTAATTTAAAAAATTAAAACAGATATATCTCTAATCTTTAAGAAAATTATAATATTAATATTTAAATTTAATAAATTTATAGTATATAAGACCTATGAGACTGTTTATAAATAAAATATTTTTATTATAAATAAAAAAAATAATAAATAAATATATTAATATATAGGCAAGCTGTATAAATTAATAATAAATTTTAATTAATTAAAATTTATAAATATTAAGATTAATTTAGATTTAATATAAATAATAAAGGCGCTTGGTACTGTTCAGTATTATAAATAAATAAATTATATTTAATTTAAATTAAAGAGTAAGATTATAATAAAAAAATCTTTTATAAAAAGCTTTTATAATTAAGCTAAAAAGATAATTTATATAAAAGTATTAATAATTAATAATTTTATTAATAAGATAGAACTTGATACTGGTAATTTAAAATAATTCTTAAGAAATATATCTAAAATATAAATAATACTGCTTATTTTGTAAAACCAGATATTTTTTTTAAAAAAAAAATAATTATTTAGATTTATTTTCTAGAAAAATAAGTATATATTTTAACAGCTCTTATTAAAGTAAATATTAATTATATAATTATATATATTAGATTTACTGTTAATAAGCAGACCTATATTATTAAAGATTTTATTTATAATTCTAATTATTATATAATATTAATAATAAGTTATTTAATAAATTTAACCAGATTTAATCTTTAGATAATATATTATAATTTCTATTTCTTTTTTCCAACTATCTTAAAAATTATTATAAATTAAATTATTAACTAAATACTCTATATAAGATAGACTAGAATTGTATTTATTTATAAATATTAAATTTTAAATTTTTTTAATATTTATTTTATAAAATATAATCTTAACAAAATCTTGCCAGATTTAATTATTATAATATATATTAATTTTATATTTATACTTGATAAGTCGGCCGCCAGATTTTTAATAAATAAATAAATTATTTAAAATAAGGAACTAGTAGCTCTTGTAAAAAATAAAAAATTTAAAAAAAAAATATTACTAATATTAAAAAAATAATAAATCAGATAATATAAGAGATTTCAAGTAGTTTTAAAAATTCTTTTTTAAATAAATAAATATTTGCAGTAGCTTAGCTAGTTATTATTAATTAATAAAATATTAAATATAAAATATTTAGAGAAAGGCTTTTACAGAATATATTATAAAAAAATAATTAAATTTTAATTAATAATAAATAAAAACCAGAAAAAATAGTTTTCTGGTTTTTAAAAATATTAGTTATATTTTTTATAATTTTTAATAAATTTATTTAAATACAGAAACTAGGCTATAGATATTATTTTATTTAAATTTATTTTTTTAATAAAGCTAGATATAGTTCTTATAACAGATAGAATTAAAATTCTAATTTTTAGAAATAATAATTTTTTAATAGCCAGGAAATTTGTACATGGAATAATAAAAAATCTTAATAATAATAATATAATTAATATTATAAATATAAATAAATAAAATAATCTAACTAATATTTATACAGATAATAATATTCTGGAATTTATTAAAAATATTATATATATTAGTCTAGAGATAATCAGCATTAATATAAAATAATATTTTATTAATATAGATAATATAAAAGAAGTATATATAGATATAAAAATAAAAATCTTTTTTATTAATAATCTTCATGAAGTACCTAGATATATGTATTAATAAATAAAAACTAGATATAATAAAATTAGTAGATTAATATATTTATTAATATAAATATAAATTATTTTAAAAGTCTCAGAGAACAGCTACTTATATTTATTAAAAATAAGATAAATATAAAAAAAGAAATTATTAATATTAATTTTTTTATATTCCAGATTAAAAATACAGATATTAAAATTAGAAATATTATAATTAAACTAGAACTTGGGGTATGGCTTTAATTTAAAAATTATATTAATTATTTTTATTTTTATATTATATTATATTTAATAGAAAGTTCTTTTTTTTATATAATTATATTTATTTTATTCTTATAGTAGCAGTAATATCTGTTCTAACTACTAAAAATATAATAATTATTTTTTCTATAAAAAATAAGATTATAGTTATACTGTAAAAGA